GCACCCGGGGCGCTCAGCCCCGCGGGCACGACAATGCCCTGGCAAGCGGCAGCTTGCCCTTAGAATGCATTACCCCTAACCTCCCGCGGGATCGGGGCATCCCACGAACAGAATGCTTAGCAATGGCCTTCTCGTAGCACAGGATTGCCTTTCAGAGCCCTCTCGTAGCACAGGATTGCCTTTACAGACCCTCTCGCGACACAGGATTGCCTTTAAAAGCCCTCTCGTAGCACAGGATTGCCTTTAAAAGCTCTCTCGTAGCACAGGATTGCCTTTAAAAGCCTTCTCGTAGCACAGGATTGCCCCTTTGCCCCGGGTTTACCCTCCACTGAGCAAGTTTCAATGGCGACCGGCACGTTTCGTGGCAAATCCTCGGGTGGACCCCACGGTCAACTCCAACCTCTCCAGGTCTTGCCTTGACAGATTACTGGAGCCACGCACGTGTCCGACCTTGCCTTTTTGTCCCAGTGCCAAGCCTTAGAACGTTTGCTGGGCTTGACGACGTCGTTTGCTACCTTGCCTTTTTAGTCCCAAAGCCAAACCGTCAGCCGTTTTGCCTTTGCGCCTTGGGTTTGCCCTCCGCTGAGCAAATTTCAAGGCGACCGGCGGCCCGATTCGTGCCAAATCCTGGGGTGGGCCCCACAGCCGTCGAACAGACTTCTTCGCAAAGGCCTTCCGTCAACAGAATTCCACACACACATGACACACATGCCCGACCTTGCCTTTTAATTAGTCCCAAAGCCAAACCTTTGAATTGTCAAGCGCCCTTGGGACGCTCGCTTGGCTTTACGACGTCGTTTCCAGCCTTGCCCTCAGTCCCAAAGCCAAACCTTTGACTGATACTCTTCCCTGGCAGAGTCGAAGGAGCGCGCTCGCGACGGGCGGACGGCCGGCGCTTCGCTCCCTCGCTCTCGCTCGCGCCGCCCCTCCGCCGTCCACGCCACTCCTCGTCGCCATGTCCAGATGAGCCGATAACTGAAAGAGAGAGGTTGTTGGGCCAGGCCTGAGGGTTCAAAGAACCCTAAACCCTAAAAGGTTAAGGTTTGGGTGGAGCGCCAGCGGGGGTGGGATTTGTCCGCGGACGCGGCGCGCGTGTGAATGGTGAGGGGGGGGCGTGAAAACAGGTTGGATAGCCCCCCCGTGAGCGCACACGCACGTTTGACCATAGACGCCCTAAAACCCTAAACCCTTCTGGCGTTTCTGGTCCGGCGAAACCGCTGTCTTGCTGCCAGTCTTTATAGTTACGCGAAGCCTCTGGTCAAATTGGATGGCCTCCAATGCAACATTCGAGTGTTCAATATAATGCGTCCGTCGCCAAGAACTCAACGAATACATATATCATATATATCTATATATATACACATACAACAATCTCTGCCGCCTCAAGCACATGGTATGTTTTCTTGAATTTGGCTACCGTGCAATGTTGCGACAGTCTGGATGCAGGAGAGCCGGTGATCAGCGAGAATGCCTTGTTTGGGCCACCAAGCAAGCCAGAGGCAAGGGGCATGAAAGGGTACTTTGGCTTATTGGTCCGTGGAGTTGTAAGAGCATCATATGCCGTTACAAACTTGTAATTATTCCAGGCGCATATCAGACAAAACAAATATCTGCTTAAAAAAGCAGGCATAAATATCCGGATACATTTCTTAATCATCCAGCGTATATATACGGATACATTTCTTAATTATCCCGTCTGGGCTAATATCAGGTTGAAAGTTTAGGGCCCTTACTGCAGGGTAAGAAATAAGGGCCCTAAACTTTCAATCTGATATTGGCTGGGCTGGCACGTGGTGTGTCTTCTTGAATTTGGCTTGACAGTTTTGTCAATTCTATTTACCTTTCTTGATTAATCCCCCAAAAGGCTACCTTTCGTGATTAAGGTCCCTAAACATCCAAGAATTATGTCCGGATTTTGGTCCAGACGAGTTGAAAAACATTGTTTCTCTCCGACTATCCGGACACAATGCTCCCACACAAGTGGTCCGAATTAAGAGGGTTTAGGGGGGTGGTGGCATCTGAGCGATTACCGGTTTGTCGTTGTCGGTTGTTCCCCAAACAGGTTTACCTGTGAGGGGTTCTTACTCCTTTTAAAGGGGTGCATGCTCGGGCCGGACGATTTTGAGTTTGTCTCCGGGCTTGTGTTCCTGGCCGCATGATTTCACCCTTGTCTCCCACTTGTCTCCCAGTAAGCTCTGGATGCTCTCAGTGCTC